GTTCTTGCTTGCAGGCAAATGGTATTTCTTGCAGGTATTCCAATGCACCATTGTTGCTGTTTTGTCATGCTATTGTTTGTAGTCAGTCTGTGCAATCTTCTTGCAGCTGCTAACTAGGTGGTCCACTGTTTCTTCAGCTTCTTTGCATTGTTCTTAAGGTTTGGTCTTGTGCAACCAGAATTAGCCCCTCTGTTTCTTTTTTCAACTTTCTTGTTCTTAGCCATTGCCAGGTCTTATTGTTATCTGCTTTGCTTGCTAGTTATTTTGTGTACTGAAATGTAATACTTTGCCTTGCCATGTCTTTTTTCTCTTCTTCATTTGGTCTTTCTCGTAGGCCAGTTTGGTTTCTTTGGTATTCAGTAAGCCTTCAAGCTGTATTAGTTTCAGTGCATCTTCTTCACTGTCCTTCAGATATTTTTCCAATGCTTTTCTTCAACTGTTTGGTGTACTTGCAACATTTCATACCCACCTATGCTTCTTTGGTAAGGAGAGTCTGTCAACATTGCTATGTGGATGAAGGGGATAATTCATTGTCATTATTTTTCTGGTGGTCTTATTCAGGACTTCTAGTTCAACTTGAGTCTAGTCCACTATTCCAGCTGTATGTCTAATGACTGGAATTGCCCAGGTGTTAATTGCCTTGATGGTATTTCTGCCACTGAATTTGGACTTTAAGATCTTCTTCACTCCCATGATGTATTCACTCCTAACCTTCTTCTTGACTTCGGTGTGCTTGATGTTGTCAGCCTGAAGGATGCTCAGGTATCTATAGTGACCTTTTTCATCCAGACTCTTGATACTGTTTCCATAGGGCATCTTGATTCCTTTAGTTTTCACTATTTTTCCCTTGTTGATGGTAAGGGTGGCACATTTGTCCAGTCCAAACCTTTTTGCAGTATCTTGGCTGTATATTCGAACAATGTTGAGCAGTGATTCCATTTCAGATTATGTTTTTCCATACCGCTTCAGATTGTCCATGTAAAGGAGATGAGATAGCCTGGCAGATGTTTTTGATGTTTGATAGCCATGGCCTATGTTGTTACCAGTGTTGTTGACAGGTCCTCCTTTCAATTTTGTTTCTGATTTTTCCATTACTATTTAGACAGCCAAGGGAAAACTTTTAGCTTGGTAATACAAACTGGATTGTTGAAAAGATCAACGTATTGATTTATCTTATTATCTTGAATATACTACGCTCCCTGGCCATTGCCATTTTAAGACTGGCTGCTGGGTATATTTTTCTGCATAGAAAGATAAAAGAGCTCCTTACTGCTAGGAACACATTCTGGGAAGATCACATACAGTATATGGACTGAGTATAGCTTAAATCTTCAGCCAGCTAACTGCAGTGGGTAAATTGTTTGTTACTCTAGAGCTCTCTTTACTCCATCATTAAATACTTCAGGTTTAATGGTTGTGGGAATAGTGGGGGTCTTTAAACAATGAAGTAACTTAGGGTCTATGGTTTTCAATATTAATTTAAATTATTTTAGTATAAAAGTGTTTGATTCTGCTCTATTCATTAT